TCACTATACTTGAAATTTATCCAGATGGGGAGGAGGAGACTGAGTGTTCCGGTGCGCGCTCGCGGCCTCGAGGACGACGCACGCTGGGGTATATTTGTCCCGACCAAATACTGCCGAAACTGGTGGTCGAAGCGAAAATCGAAGTTGTTCACATCCGAGTGCGCAGACTTTAGTCACAGTGGCTTCGTATACACAGCGCGAAGTATACTAGAGTGTCTTCGAAAGCATAGCTCAAGCCTCTGAACATGAATTCTGTGATTTTGAAAGGGCGAACATTCTCGCCACGAGCGCGTCGGTTCAGCCTGTCTCCCGAACAAGTGCTGAGAAATGACGCATGGTCACGCCCCTGGGGTGCGCATGAGGGACTTATCTACTAAGTCCTAAAGGGTATCGAACCTCGCGAGACGTTTGAGCAATGGTTCGAGCACGCGTTTTTTGATGTCCGCTCGGCAGAGGTCTAAAAAGACCTGCTCTGCTTTGTCCTATTCCGTCTGGTGAGTTTTGCAGGGAGGGAGGGGGGTATCTGTCACGCGCGTCTCGTGACCTCGCACTACGGTGCGGCCCAGTGTCACGCAAAACCGCTACGACGAAGTCTTGCACTGTTTGAATAGATTTCGAATGTGTCGTACAGCCTCTCGAATATGACTCCTACTGCGTCGACATCGATACCACCACATGCAACGTCTGGCAGCTTATCATCTGCATTGACTACGGTTCTTGAGAATGCACGCCAGGAAGCCGTCAAGACACACAGATATTCATCTGAGGAAACGTGGCCGAAGCAAATCGTTGAGATGTTTGCCCAGGTGTTTAACGGTTGTAAGCCCTATGACTGGCTAGTCAATGTGACAGAGGCTATTCTCTTGGGCATAAACTGTATGGTAATTGCAGGAACCAGGGCTGAGAAGACAATGCCGTTTACCATGCTTCTCCTTCTTGACAATTCTGCATGAATTGTATAGGATACATGCGCATATAGTGACTGACGCGCTGTAGCTGCAACGCGATCGACGTGTTTGTACGCGTTAGACACGACTGGTCACGGAATCGTCACTGGTGACATCTGTTATGCGTGATGGATACCCCCCTCCCTCCCTGCAAAGTTCACCAGACCTCATAGGAGGAAGCGAGCATGGATTTTTGGCTCTCCGCCCACCAAATCCGGCACGTACACGTGACTCCTTCCTCCTATCGAGGTCTGGTTACGAGACTAGAACCACGACTCTAACTACAGTAAACGTATGACAGCGGGTATCTGCCTACGAGGGTGGGGCGATCACGTCGACGTAGGCAAACGGCGATGCCGGCGAGTACTAGCGTATTTGAGTGCGCGAATCCGTGATAGCAAGCTGGCGTAGCGAATCGCTCGTGTGTGGTGCTCCTTCCATAGTCCATGCACTGCGAACGCCGGCATCCACGAGCCTGAGGAGAGAATCCGGGTGCGTCGTCGGACAGGGGGAATCCGCCTTTGCAGCGAAATTGGAGTCTCAGGGCCTCGTCTGAAATGCTGCCGCACCGGGTGGATGCTGCAGCTTGGCGCGGCGGCAACTTGCATTTGTCCTCCGTCCATTTGGGCCGCTCGCCCGCCTTCGCCATCGAGTGGGGCGGCGCTCGTCTGTGCTTACACCCTTCAGCGGCCCTCTCGGCACGAGCAGCGTCTTCCCTCTCCAGTTGCTCGGCGCTACATCCGTGCGGGTCGCCCGGCTCTCTCGCCCGCCCTCGTTGACGTCATCCGCACCCGCACCGCCCGGTGCGCTGCACCCAGCATCTGGAACATATCTGGATCTGATGAGGCCGCACACCGCTGGATCCTATCGCACTGCGTCTACTCAAGTACTCACCGGCACCACTGGCCAGGATGCGGTCGGCTAGCACAACGGCACTCGGCGTGCAGGCCCTGGGTCCCCTGCGCTGTCTCCTCCACTGCGCCTCATCTGGGACCGTCCGTCGCCACTGAATTCGATCGTCCCCGCGCGTCCGCCAGACGTGGAGAAGCAGGCGGTCTTGATTGCATATATGGCCATTCGTTTCGCCCGTACCCCACGCACGTTGGGATGGCGGTGGCACCTGCGGAGTGCAAGGCAGACACACTTGGCTTGCGGATGTGGCGCGTCCGGGCACCCAGGCTTGCGTCGAGGGCGCAGACTCGAGGCGCAGGAGACTGGTCGCAGCGGACGTGCGCGCCTCGCCGCATTCCGCGCGTATTCATCCGCGGCTTAGGGCACGGTAGACGGAGGTTTCGCCCACATCGCCTCGCTGCGAGGGAGGACAGCAGGCAAGACGGGAAAGGGAGAGGTGGAGAAGGGTGGAGAACCGCCCAGTGCGCTCTCACGGCGACGCGACCTAAGTTGTCGTGGGGGAACAGCGGGGAACTGAAATAGAGCCGCACAACGCGCGGGTGAAGACCAGGACGGCGCGATCCCGTGGGGCGGGTGGGTCTGGCGGGCGCGGAAGGCACGCTTGCCGCGGCGTGTTCTGCGTGGCAGGCTCCGCGAGTGCGGCACGCTCGGCTTCGCGAGGCGCGGGATGTGGCTATTAGTATGTCTGCGTCAAGATGCAGGGATGTGGAAGGGGTCGCGCGAAGGCCTAGATATGCGCGAACAGGCGGGGGAA